AAAAAAAAAAAACATTTTTTGTACAGTGTATATTTATATTTAATATTATTCATATTTAACATGTTTAAATTTAATATGTTCATTTATATTTTCATTTATTGTTGAAACTTTTCAGAATATTATTTTATTATTTTGCATGGAATAATATTGACAGAGTTTAGGTGTGCCCTAGTGTGTATTTCATTTAAAGAAATTAGGAATTATGAAATATATACTTTAAAATAAGGTTATATTAGTCTTGGTTAATAATAATAATAATAATAATAAAATTAACCAATATTAATACAATTATTTTATAGTGTTATTAAAAAATAATAATAGTGGTAACAATTTAAACATTTCATGCTGTTCTGTATGATTTGTAATGTGTGTTCATAACTGTTGCGCTGTAAAATCTACTACGCTATAATATATATATATATATATTTAAAGATCTTAATAAAACAAAGATCAAGAAAATATTATTTCAGACTTTCTACTTAAAAATTGCCTTTGTAATTATTTATGAAATTTATGAGCGATTCCTGAGTGAAAACTGTTTCAAAAACTCTTACATTTTTTATTAAAAAAAAAAAAATTTTGTACATGGTTTAGATGTTGTGGATGCGTTGATATTTACTTTAATAGCTGAAATCACTCACTAATTAAAAAACAAACAAACATTGTTTTGTTTCAGAGATGATGATAAATGTCACATACAGCTGATGGAAGAGAGGAAGATTCCATTCCATAGATTCATCATTAAGCAGGTTATTATTATGTATTACGCAGATTCTGCATTTGTTCTCTGATGAGCGCAGAAGGGAATCCTGGGAATGAAGTGTTTTTGACAGCTGTTGTTTAAAATCAGAGCTGAGCTTCAGACATCAGCTGCCAGATTCACATCACACAAACTCCTAAAAATAGGTGCAGATATGCTAAATATTTATATATTATGCAAAATATAATTTCTCATTTTTAATAATACTTCTAATAGTAATAATAAAATTAACCAAGATTAATAACCCTAATCCACCCTATTTATAATAATAATAACAGCAATACTTTAAAATAAGGCTGTATTTATCTTGATTAATTAAATTTTTTGCTTAATATTTATTAATTTCTACATGTACTTATACATTTCTAACAATAAAACATATATGAAACCTATATTTATGGATTAACATTAGCATTAGTCAGTTGTAAGTTTTAGATCAGGAAAACATCATCAAGAAAATCATGTTGCATGTTGCAAAAAAAGGTCCTAAAAATACAATGGATTTCATTTACTTTACGCAAAATATCAATTCTCATTTCTTAATAATAATAATAATAATAATAATAAAATTAAACCAATGCTAATAATAATAATTTAAAATAAGATTGAATTTCACGTTTTGTGTGGGATTTGTTAATTTCTACATATACTGTACATTTCTGACAATAAAAAAATATGAAACCTGTATTTATAAATGAATATCAGTCAAAATAATGTGAAAAATGTTCATGATGTCTAAAATGCATTAAAGAATGTTGAATTATAGCTAGCATTTCTTGAACCAATTTAGTTTTGCGGTTCCATTTACTCTCATAAATAAACTTTTTCTCTACTGTACCTTTAAGTTTAAATAGAAATGACCTCTGTTGTCAGTTTTAGATCATGAAAACAGAAGCAGGAAAGTCATGATGCCGTGCAGAAAATAGGTGTAGTTTTTTTCATCCAAAATATGATTACTTACTGTTTTCTTATTGTTAATTTAAAAACTGCAACTCCAAGGTCATGGGTTTGATTCCCAGGGAATGCATAAAACTGATCAGATGTCCATCTTGAGTTAAATGCAAGTCATTGCTTTGGATGAAAGCATCTGCAAAAAGCATGAATGTGAAATATAATGTAAATGAAATGTGACCCAGACAGGTTTTTTCGTCAGATTGACCCAGTCGGAAACACACTGATGAGAAAGAGATGCAGGTCGTTCCAGTTCTGTCTCTGCCGGGACAAACTCACACACATACACACACACACACACACACAATACCAGGTGCACACACACACACACACACACACACACACACACTGTACTGTAAGTGTTCTCCAGCCTCCTGCACAGGTCAGAGATCTATATTGGACAGACTCTGATCCAGATTCATTAATGATAGCAGGTATTTCTAGAAGCAGAGAGTCTACAGAGCTGCTAGTGCTGATGGATCAGCCTGATCGTTCATAGAAACTGTATTCAGCAAGGGTGCACTAAATTGCTCAAAAGTGACAGTAAAGACATTTATAATGTTACAAAAGATTTCTGTTTCAAATAAATGCTGTTCTTTTGAACTTTCTATTCATCCTGAAAAATAACATGTATCACGGTTTCCACACAAATATTGTGCAGCACAACTGTTTTCAACATTGATAATAATCAGAAATGTTTCTTGAGCAGCAAATCAGCATATTAGAATGATTTCTGAAGATCATGTGACACTGAAGACTGGAGTAATGATGCTGAAAATACAGCTTTGATCACAGAAATAAATTACAGTTTAACAGATATTCACAAAGAAAACAGCTATTTTAAATTGTAATAATATTTCATGATTTTACAGTTTTTACTGCAAAAAACTGCAAAAGAGACTTTTTTTCAAAAACATTAAAATTTTGACTTTGAAACTTTGAAATTTAATTTAATTTTATTATTTTATTTTATATTTTGAAATAAATTGTATTTATTATTAAGTTGAATCACATCAGGTTTATTTTATTTTATTAAGTACAATTTACATCAGGTTTGGATTGTTGGATTATTTTATTTTATTTAATTTTATGTAAAATTCACATCAGGTTTGAATGATTTTATTTTATTTTTAAGTATGTTTTAGTAAGGTGACAGATTTCCGTCATGAAGGTGTAAGTGAAGTGGTGTGGTCAGTGTTTATACCGCTGGTTAAAGTGAGGGAGTTAGTAAGGCTATCAGAAGCTGCTAGAGAACAAAACCAGAGAAAGAGATGAAATAATCTGCTCTCGTTGAGGAGATGAGACTGAAAATCCTCTTTGTCCTCTTCCACATGCTCAGAGTTTTCAGCGGAGCAGGCGCCTCGATCCCAAACCCTCGTTATGAGATTCCTCTTATTTGAGTCTCGTACACAAAATATCATCAGAGCGTTGCATCACAGCACTGGATTACATGCTGCCGCATCAGTTCAGACACAAATCAATATTCTGTTACACTTTGTGTCTTTTTTGTTTTGTGACTGATTGTGGTAAGTTTGAACAATTTGATAGTCTCATCTTAAAAGACCAAAATATTAATGATTTCTTCTAGGGCTGCTCGATTATGACAAAAATCATAATCACGATTATTTTGGTCAGTATTGTAATCACGATTATTTAAAAACAATTATTAGTGGGCCATATGACCAAAACTTTATATGAAAGATTTATTTAAAGATAGTGATATATATCAAATATATATTTTGGTTGCTATGACATCTACATTTTAGAGACCAGCGAAATGTCACAATTCTCAACACCACAGCAGAACACCAGAGTAACTAATATTAGTTAACAAAATAAATTGAAAATAATTAAACTGCCAGTAATAAAAAAGCAAAAGAATACAATAGAATAAAAAATATACAAATGAAACAAACTGTGCTTTAAGTTTTTTTAGTGCAAGTCTAAAGTATTCAGTTAACAGCCTACAAGAGAAATTGAATAACCTAATGTAAAATAAAACTAGTCTTCACTGTCAGAATTAAACTTTCTTTGTTTCTTATTAAAGCTACAAAAGTCCTTCAGTGTGTCTTTTGTTGTTTGATTAATATGAAGCACACAGTCGCAGCAGGAATATTAACCCGCTGTCGCTTTAAGAGCCGCACGGATCTGATTTACTGTCACACAAGTATTTTCATTCTCAACTCTTTACATTCATTTATTACATAACCGACGAGGGTTTACGTGAATAATCACTTAGCGCCACATTCTGACACATTTTTGTGTGTATTTGACCGTTTAGGCGCTAAAAGATGACTTTACATGTCCGTGTTGTGTTCCGTCTCTGAGCGCATGCACGGTAACGTTAATCTTCCCGACCAAGTTCTCTTTCACGCTTTTAAAAACATAAATAAATCGAATCAACTTAAATAAATCAAGCACGTCACGTTTTCCAAAAGTCTCGTTACATGATTTTACTGATTTGCACGTGAAATTGGGCTTTTATGGAGGAGTGAAAGCGCACCGCTGGAAAGGGGGAGGAATGGGGCGCAATAATAGTTTTGTCTCGATTACTGTATTTTCATAATCGTTGGAGATCGAAATCGAAAATGAATTTCGATTAATTGCTCAGCCCTAATTTCTTCGAAACTTGGAATGAAATATTGGCATCAATTGGTATTTGATATTTTATCAGCCAATATTATTTATTATTTTTATAAATAATAATAATTACAATTATTTATTATCATTGTTATTGTAATTATTTTACAGTTAGTTTATTATTTTAGTTTAGTTTTTTATTAATTATGTTTTATGTTTTTTTTTGTTGCGGTTCATATTCATTCTTTCAATTAATTAAAAAAAAATTTTAATTGTAATTTTTTATATTTTATTTTATTTTAATTTATATTTTTACATTTAATTTATTTTCATTTTGATTTAATTGTTTTATTTTATTTTAAATGTTTATTTATTTATTTTTTATTTTATTTAGTTTATTAGTTGATTTTAATTTGTTTTTTGTTTTATCACTGCTTTGACAAAATACTTTTTACATTATTTTATTTATTTATTATTTATTTATTTATTTCTAGCAATTATTTGACAAAAATCACACTGAACAGAATTAAAGTCAAATAACATGCCAAATTATGTGAATGCATTAAATTCAACTGTGTTAAATGTTTAATTGATCTCAGGATTCACAAAAATTGAATGAATTATACTTAATATGTAATAATTTAATAATCATTATTTAAATTTTTTTAAATTTAATTTAATATTTTAGTTAAGAATTCAGGATTCTGTTAGCCTTAACATAATTCACAAAAAATTTATACATTTTGCTTGATATTTAATAATTTAATAATAAATATTTTGAATTAAATTTTGAAGATTTTTTTTAAATATATTTTTTTGTTATGAAATCAGTATTATGTTAGCCTAAACAAGATTCTCAAAAATTGTGTGAATTGTAAGGCATGTAGCTACACTTCAGAAACTTGTCCATCCATTCGTATTATACGTATCAGTGTTTTTCCAAACTCATATTTGTTTTCTAGAACTACACACGATTACCTGCAAACACTAATGAGATAACACTGTTGGTTCTCACAGCTTTTGACTGTCATTTATAATTTATAGAGTAACGGTGACTAACGCTCTCCTTCACAAAGCACTTGAACAGAAGATCTGTGACATTTCCCTCTCTTTACTACAGCCTCTCATTTACAGAGCGCTGCGAGGATGAGGAGGATGAAGAGTGCTTTCAATAATTCACTAGCTGCTGTAAATACTCTCTCTGTCTCTCTCTCTCTGTCTCTCTCTCTCTCCCTCTCTCTGTCTCTCTCTCTCTCGTGTGTTTGTTGACAGATGAAGGAAGTTCTCTCTCTGTATCTGCCGTATTCAAGCCATTAAACGCAGTGACATTTCTGACAGAATGGAGCGTCAGGCGTCTGATCCATAACGAGCTCAACCTTTATTAGCCTTTACTGCTCTTATACACAGTCTGCTCCACTTTACAGAGCTGCTCAGCTGAATGAGAAACTGACCAAAGTGCTTTGTTGTTTTGTTTAGTGCTGGCCTTTGAGTTATTTATTTATTTTGTGAAAATTGAGATTTATACATCATATGAAAGCTGAATAAATAAGCCTTCCATCATATACTTTTTTTATATTAGTTTTCACAGTTTGTAATGATATATTAAAGTAAAAACCCTAATTAAAACATTAAATCCAATTTAAAATATTAATACAATTAGTAAATATCAATTATTAAATATTAAAAATAATTATTAATATTAACTAATATTAACATTAACATTCATGCTCAGATATAGATTAAACAGACTGTGAAAACTGATATCAAATCAATCATAAAACCTCAAAAAAACTATATTGTTTAAAGAAAATAATAAAAATGACAAAAACAAAACGAAATTACACAAAAAGCTCAAATTAAAGTAGAATAGAAAAATAGAAAATATATTTAAAAATCCAGTTCAGTGTATTAGAATTATTACATTTCAATTATTAAATATAAAAATATTTTAGTTACTTTTTTTGTAATTTTGTAATTTTTGTTACTTTCCTTATTTTTATTAACTGTAGTTTTTTTTATAAATTTTAATTATTACAGTGCTTCAACTTAAACTAAACAAAAATGAGAAATGTTGCCTTACAATAAAATAACTGAAATATATATATATTAGTTTGTTAACAATCATTTAGTTTAATAATTATTAGAGCATCAGATATTTTACACCTCCAGCTGGTCTTTAAATGAAGAATGACAGATTTAAATTTAGATTTAAAATAAATTGTTTTGTAATAGCTTTTAAATAGCTTATTAAAGGTGGCATTGATCATTTACAGTACAGGATGAACAAAAAATTGCACTCGTCTGAGTGCAGCATGATGTAATCATTAGTTTTGATGTGTTTTCCTTGTAAGAGTCACGTGAAATGTGTTTGTGCTGGAAACTTGAATGGTTGTTTAAGAGCTAATAGATGTGAGTTTTTAAACTTCATCCTGTTTATAGATTGTTGCACAAGGAGAATCGTGGAAAGATGACAGAAATGGTGCAGATCTCAGATGGTTTGTTGGTCAGATCAAGATGAAATGTTGTGATGCCGTGAGTGACAGTCCATCACACACACACACACACACACACACACGTCTCCTGCCCTTGTTTCCTCTCTGAAGGACACACACACACCGGCAGTGAAAGCATGAATCTTAGTTCCGCATGTGACGTTCATTCTCCTGTGTTTTTTGTTATTTTTTATTTATTTGTTTGTTTATTTTTATCCATGACGTAGATTCTGAACCTGATACAATCTTTCCTGCAGCACAGACTGAACTCTGGAAATATATTTAGATATATTTAGTATATTTATATAATTATATAAATTATGTTATCTACTGTTAATATTACAGTTAATATGAATTATTAATGAGGTGTATAAATCTGTTCTATATAATAAATATAATATAATAAATGATATTTTATAATGTTATATTATACTATTAATATTAACATTACTACCATTTACTACTTAATATTAATTATTAGATAAAATATAGAAATATGTCATTAATAAGTAATTATTAAAATGTATATTTAATTTGAAATAATATTGATAGTTGCATATATGTTTGTGTATTTAAGTATTGAAACTAGTGAAAGGATTATCAGTTAATTGTGTTACTGTGATGAAATAAAACGAACTAATGTGACTGTCATATGTTATCCAGTGTACTGTATATGATGCGGTCTGACAGCAGGAAGGACTCTTGTTCAGTCTGGAGTCAGTTTTCTAAAGCGCCGGTGCAGACGGTTAATGAAATGCGTGCGACCTCTGACCCCTGCAGCTGTATGCAGTAAACACTCCTCTCCTCTTCCGCTGTCAGACAGTCAGAGATTAGAAATCACACCGAGTTTCACTTTCAGAAGGCAGATTAGATCTCATGTTAGACACACAACTCACTCCTGCATTATACATCACATCAGGCCAGTCAAATCCTCAATTATTCACATGCACTTGATTCAGATTTTATACCTTATAGAGGCAACCGGGGCTAGTTGTCACAGTCAAGTCCATTTCTGTATAGACTAGTTATTGAACACTTCTATTGTTACTGAAATGAACAATTCAACTAAAACTAAAACCCTAATAATAATAACAACAATAATAAAAAATAATATAAAAAAACAAAATCCCATTTATTTATTTATTTGTTTGTTTGTTTGTTCGTTTAACAAATTTAGATTATTATATATTCATTATTTAGATTATTTATATATTATTATATAAATTATTGTTTTTCATTAATATTATTATTAATATGTCTGATTTGTGATATACTATTAATATTACTACCCTTACTATTAATTTTAATTTACTAAATTGTAATTATTTAATAGGTAGTTAATATTTCATTTTAAATGACTGAATATTTCCACAAGTGCTAACGAAAACGAAAAACATAGAAAAGTTTCCCTTACTTGCAATAAAATAAAATATTAAAAACCTTAAACTTATGGCATTTCAATCCTCATTTTCATTTTCATTTCAACTTGATGTACTAAAATAATTAAAGCTAAATTTCTACAATTTAACTCATATTAAAATATAACATATTACATAAATATATAAAAAAATATATATGTATCTCAAAGATATATTCTGACATATTCAGTATATTCTGAACTGATACAGATATGTATAATTTCTAATATACTTTCAATATAACTACAATGACTTAGTTAATAATATTCATTTAATATAATAATAATAATAATAGAATCATGTTAGTTTATTAAATTGTAATTATTTAATCAGTAATTGTAAATAATATTGATAATATTGCTAATTACAATGTGTAATAATAAATATAACAATTAAAACTAATTCAAAATAATAATAAACATGCTCCGAGTATGTCAGCGCTCTGAAAGCAGCCAGCTGCGCTCGAGTGAGGTTCGTGTGAATCAGTGGATGAAGCTGTTTCGACTGAACTCACTCTGAACCTGTGGGTTTGTGAGCATCAGTGGCTCCCTCTGCTGGTCACACGGGCCGAAGGGCCGCCCATTACCATGGAAACAGATGTGTCAGAGCATGAGTGCATGGATCAGACTCCTAAAGTCCACCGTTTGAATGGCTGTTTTGACTCGGACTCTGCAGCGGGACGCTCCCGTGTGTGAGTGGCCATTAAAAATACATGCAGGTGTTTTCGCAGTACGAGCGATTCAGTGCTTTACAGACATGAGCATTTCCCCTCATGGAAAATAATCTACTGTAGCTGCTCATTCAACATGCATGAGAGCAGGTCAGCCGCGCTTCCTCACATCCACACACCTGTTTGCTCACGATCGCCTCACTGCCACCTGCTCTCTCAGAGATCAATTAACTTTAGCATTACTTATTCACTCTCATGTTGCTCCAAACCTGAATGACTTTCTTCATACGGATCTGAGATATGCCATATCAAGCTTCTTTTCATTACTTTTCAAAATTAATATAAAGAATAGTGAGAATTAAACAAAGAGTCCATTAGAAATCGTTATATATTATTCTATAGTTATAATTATGTTGTTTTCATTTAATCTAACTTTATGTACTAACTAAAATATGATACTAATAAAAAAAAAAAAACTAAATTTGTAAATCTTAAACTAAAATTAAAATGTAAATAAGAAATTTGTAAATAAAAACTCATTCAAAATATGAATTTCGATATTAATTCAAAATATCAAATTATGATATTGAAATAACACTATATACACATTTTGTCCTTACCTTTTAATTTGAAAGAATAATGAGAATTAAATAATCAGTTATAAAACTATTATTAAACATAAATCATAATAATACATAAAAATAATACTAATATAATAAAAGTAATAATAATAAAAATAAAATTATATATGTATGTACTGTATATGTATGTATATATGTATATATATGTTGTGTGCGTGTGTGTGTGTGTGTGTAACCCAGTCTTCAGGGTCACATGATCTTCAGAAATCATTCTAATATGCTGATCTGCTGCTCAAGAAACATTTCTGATTATTATCAATGTTGAAAACAGTTGTGCTGCACAATATTTTTGTGGAAACCGTGATGCATTTTATTTTTCAGGATTCACAGATGAACAGAAAGTTCAAAAGAACTGCATTTATTTGAAATAGAAATCTTTTGTAACATTATAAATGTCTTTACTGACACTTTTGATCAATTTGAAGCTTCCTTGCTGAATAAAAGTATTAATTTCTTTGATAAAAAAATCGTACTAAGCCTAAACATTAGTAGTTCATATATATATTTTTTAATATTTAAAGCTGCAGTCCGTAAAGACACACGCAGTTCTGTTTATTAACCGCTAGAGCGCCAAAAGTTACGGACTGCAGCTTAAATTATTAAAACTATTTACCTTCAATGCTTTCATATGGCTTCAGAAGATTTTTTATGATACTGTTATGGTGTTTTATGTCTCTTTTGGGGATTGAACAGTGTGAACATTCTACTAAACATCTCTTTGTGTGTTCCACGAAACAAAGCGAGGCAGATTTGGAAGGACATGAGCGAGTGATGACAGAACATTCCTTCGCTCTGAACCGTTCCTTTAAAGCTGGATGTGAGATCTGATGGTTTTTAAGTGTTTTTTTCCCTGTCCTCGGTGGCTTGATGTTTACACAGCATCCAATTCCTGCCCAAATCTCATCAGGATCTTCCGATTAAAGTGGGTTTCTGCCAGCAGGACGTAATGACTAAAGAGAACGATGTCCCAGTTGAGCTGGAATCACACACACACACACACACACACACACGAGCTGAGCGTTTTTACAAACCATGCTAATCGACAGCAGGTCACAGATGATGCACAGAGTTTGATTTAAAGTTTTATTGTCTTGTGTGTTTCAGGTGGTGCTTGTCTTCGCTCTGAGCATCGGAGCGCTTGTGATTTACTTCATCGACTCCTCTAAGTAAGTATATGTTCGTTTTGTTGCTGTGCATTTACATACAGGGTTCAAAAATATCCACCAACTTTCACATGCAAGCAATAAAAAATGCAAAAAATAATACGCCTCGGTAGTTGACTATAATACATGCCTTAAATTGAATCTTAAAAGTCTGTTAAAATCAAGCATAAATATTCTGGTCTGGTCGAATAGACCTTTTGACAGCGATTTGGTTTTCATTTAGTCTAAAAAAGCCTTTGAAATGAAAGAAATTGTTCAAATTGTATTTGATTACATTTTATTTGATTACCATAAAAAAAAGAGTGAAAAATTTAAGGGGGTCTGAATACTTTCCGTACCCACTGTATATATATATATGTATATGTATGTATGTATGTATTTTAGCTAGCTGCCATGGCAACATTTCTCATTTTCATTTAGCTTAACAGGATGTACTAAAATAACTAAAAGTGAAATAATAAATAATGAAAACTATAGACATATATAAAGAAAACTAAACCCAATAAAAATAATAAACGCACAGCAAAATGACTAAAACTTTTTTGTTTTAGAAAACAAAAACAAAATAATGAAAATAGTTTATTGAAAATATTAATAAAAACTATAATATTATGTTATAATAGTACTAAAATAACACTGGTATTAAATCATAAATCACAGAATTTCATAAAACTGAGAATTTCCAGAAAAATTAAAAAAATGTATGAGTTTCTGGGGGGAAAAGAAAGAAAATAAAAAGATAACATAAATAAAAATTTCATAGGGTACCATTGGTGTTTAGATCCTAATAAATAATTTTTTTTGTTCAAATTATTCAATTGATGAGACACCCTTTTTGAGTATTAAAATTGAATCAAACCATTAATACAGATTGCAGAAAAAGTTAAATGGAAAACACTGAATTTGAGAAAAAAATAATAAAATGGTTTTCATGGGTCTTATGTATATAAAATGCAAAATACTGGAATAAACATTTATGATACATTATCCCTATTCAGAAGTTAGTTGTGGACCCTCCATGAATCCATGAATAAGTGATGGGGACTGGGGCGGAAGGAATCGTCCCTTGGGCTGACAGACAGACAGATTTAGGAATAGAAGCACAGAGAGAGAGAGAGAGAGAGAGTTTAGAGCGTCCCTGCTGAACATAGGCTGTTTCAGGGGTCATCAAACATCTCACTCTTCAGCCAGCTCATAAAGGTGAAGAGCGTTATGACACAACCGGTTACGCCACGGGCATCATGAGAGCAAGAGAGGTTTCTCCTCTGGATAGACTGTGATTAAAGCAGAACTGCTCATTACATTAAACATCAGCAGGAGCATCTGTCAGAGATCATCTGGAGGTTCACAACTCATTAAGACAAGAGTTATTTTCCATTCACTGAAAGTAAACGGGGACAGATGCCATTAAACTCCAAAAAAGTATTATAAAAAGTTTATTTGACTTGTGCACTATATATTTATTATACTGTATATTAAATAATTATTTTCTGAAAATCTGAGCTCTCAAATTGTATTCCACTTGCTGTGTTTCGATTGGTTACAAGACACATGAGAACCAATTACTTTTGGTGACACTGACAGGTTTGGAAAGACCTGAGAGTGTGTAAATGAAAAGGAAACCAAATTAACCTAATTGCATCCCTTCAGTTAAATACACATACAATTTAGTATGTATGAAATGACGTTGTGGCGGATAGACTTCCACTGAACTGTGTGCTGTGATCCTGGACACTTCGTGTCGTCTTAGAGGAATAGTTCACACAAAAATAAATATTTGCTCAATTTACTCACCTTCAGGCCATCTGAGATGTAGATCAGTTTGTTTCTTCATCAGATTTGGAGAAATGTGTCACTGCATCAGTGTCTCAGCAATGGATGCTCTGCAGTGAATGGGTGCCGTCAGAATGAGAGTCCAAACAGCTGATAAAAACATCACAATAATCCACAAGTAATCCACAGCACTCCAGTCCATCAGTTCACATCTGGAGAAGACAAAAGCTGAAACAAATCCAGCATCAAGATGTTTTGAACTAAAATCCGACTCTATAATCCATAATAACGCTTCCTCCAGTGAAAGTGTTCTGGTGTGAATCAGGAGAGAAATCTGCACAGATCAAGCAGCGTTTAAACAGCTCTAAACAAATATGTGTCTGGATTTTCATGCGAGAGGCAACAGCAGATGCACTTTTTCAATTTGTCTTCTCCAGATGTTAACTGATGGACTGGAGTGCTGTGGATTACTTGTGGATTATTGTGATGTTTTTATCAGCTGTTTGGACTCTCATTCTGACGGCACCCATTCACTGCAGAGCATCCATTGCTGAGACACTGATGCAGTGACACATTTCTCCAAATCTGATGAACAAACAAACTCATCCTGATCTTGGATGACCTGAGGGCGAGGACATTTTCAGCACATTTTAATTTTTGGGTGAATTATTCTTTTATTATAAAATCTAACACATGCAGGGATGTGCGCATGGTTAATTTTCAATATCATAAATCATCAAAAGCAACGTCTGTGTTTCAGAACAGTCTTGCTTGTTTCAGTAAATCTTGTTCTGACCTATTGTGGTGTAATCTTTCAGATCTTTCATGTCTGAATAGCATGTCCTGTTCAGCATTAGAAACACGCACTCATGCCGTCCTGCTCAAAACAGACCTGTTGACGCAGGAAGTGAGCCTTATCCTCTTCCTCATTAGTGCATCATGGGGGATTTAGCAATTTCATTTGAGACTTTAGCCTCTGGCTAGCAGTGTTACTGAGCGCTGTAAACCTGCAGCGGGGCATCGGGTCACAGACGCAGGACAGCATTAGAGTGTGTGCTGAAACCGCATTAGAATATGAGCGGGTTTGTTTGTCAGAGACACAGCAGGTTCAGACGTGGGTGAGTGCCGTTTCTGTGTCTCTGTAGCCTTGATTCTCAACATCTGTTTGCCCGCAAGAAGTGTGACCCAAACACATGCCACAAACTCTCCTGCGTTCATTAAGGTCCTGTGAATATCACTGTGATGAATGATTATTGTGTGAATGAGAAAAGTGCAACACAGATGCAGAACGGGCTGCAGACAAAAGCAGAATGGATGGATGGATGAACAGATGGATAGATAAATGAATGGATACTTGGATGGATAGAAGCATGGATGATGGATGGATGGATAGATAGATAGATAGATAGATAGATAGATACTTGGATGGATATAAGAATGGATATTGAATAAATGATGGATAAATGATGGATGGATGGCTAGATAGATGGATGATGGATGGTAGATGGATGATGGATGGATGATGGATGGATGATGGATAGATGATAAAAGGATGGACGAATGCTAGATAGATGGATGATAGATGGATGATGGATGGATGATGGATGAATGAAAAAATGATAGATGAATAGTTTGATGATGAATGGATGGATAGATGGATGGATGGATGGATGGATGAATGGCTAGACAGATGGTTGATGGATGGATGATGGATGGATGATGGATGAATGATAAAAGGATGGATGAATAGTTTGATGATGAATGGATGGATTGATAGATGGATGGATGGATGAATGTCTAAATAGATGGATGGATGATAAAAGGATGGATGAATGCTAGATAGATGGATGATGAATGGATGATAGATGGATGGAAGGATGATAGATGGATGATGGATGAATGATGGATAGATGGATGAAAGGCTAGATGGTTGGATGGATAAATAAATTAATTTATGAATGTATGGATGGATTTTGTGGATTAGGGTGGAAGAATGCTTAATTTCCCAGAATTCATCATCTGAATTTCATGTAACTTAGTCAGTTGATTTTCCTGTTGTTCTCATTCCAGTTCAGCTTCCTGTGTGTTGTGTCCGATTCAGTTCAAATTCTGAGTCATGATCTGAACTGGAGCAGAGCTGATTGTTGAGTTGAGAGTTGTTTTTCGTGTTTGTTGTATGCGTCCTGTGACCTGAGCCTCCTGTGAAGTATTACTTACGTTAAACGTCTCTTAATTACAGTTGTGTCACTGAGAGCTCGGATGCGTCTCTCTGACCCGCGGGAACAGAACCGAGCAAACAGAGCTGGATAGAGTTGCGTTTCTCAGTCCTGCAGCTGTTCTGAAACTCTTTCAGGTCGAGAGTTTCACAGCTCGCTGTTCTCTCTCGGGTCCTTTGATGTTCTCAGCCTTTGTACAGGAGCGTTGAATCGCTTACACTAAAGTCAAACCCGATCCACCGGAATAACAGACTGGAGCAGAGAGTTTACTGTAGCGCTCTGATCTCTGAACCACTTCCTGTAATTGTATCAGTCGGATTCTTCATCCCAAAAGAAAGTATATATATATATAGTTTCACTATTTATTTATTTTTAGGATTTAAGATTTTTAAAAATATATATATTTTCATGACTTGTCCTCCCAAAACATTAATTTAATTTAAAAATAAATAAATAAAAAAAACTTTAATGTGTAAAAAATATATTAAAATAAAACATATTTTAAAAATGTGTTTATACATCAAGATAGTATTACTGGTTTTTATTCACGCTGAGGTTATGCTGACCAGAGTTTCCTGAATGTAATAGAATTGACAGAATAATTAATGAATAAAAAATAAAGAATTGAACTAACTGAATTAAAAATATTTAATATTTAAATGGACAAATTAGGTAACATTTTGTAACTTTTATTGTATTTTTTTATTGTATAATGTAATGAACGTTTTATATGTATATAATTTATGAATTTACTTTGTTATATGAATTATACATATTATATTACATAAACATAATTGTGCTGTCAAACGATTAATCGCGATTAATCGCATCCAAAAATAAGTTTTTTGTTTATATATTTTGAAAATATTTACATGAATATATTTATATTATATACAAATATATTTAATATGTACATCACATATTTTTCTTAAATATATACATGCATGTGTGTGTGTTTATACATACATAATAAATATACACAGTACACACACACGTTATGCAAACAAATCTTTTAATGGACAAATTAGGTAACATTTTGTAACTTTTATTGTATTTTTTTATTGTATAATGTAATGAACGTTTTATATGTATATAATTTATGAATTTACTTTGTTATATGAATTATACATATTATATTACATAAACATAATTGTGCTGTCAAACGATTAATCGCGATTAATCGCATCCAAAAATACGTTTTTTGTGTATATATTTTGAAAATATTTACATGCATATATTTATATTATATACAAATATATTTAATATGTACATCACATATTTTTCTTAAATATATACATGCATGTGTGTGTATTTATACATACATAATAAATATACACAGTACACACACACGTTATGCAAACAAATCTTTTATTTTGGATGTGATTAATCGCGATTAATAATTTGACAGCACTAAAACATATTGTACATATTGTATTGACAATAAGAATATATACGGTTTAGAATTTTTTTTTAGACTTGGCTTGAGACTTGTTGGCTGAGACGAGTTCTGTATTTTCAGTAAAGAAATCCTGTATTATAGTATTTCTAATTCTATATAGAATTATATATTATATTTTATAGTACTGCATATAAAAACACACTCCAGATACTTGGCAATAATGAGACTTTGGGGGGTAAATGAGCTTAATTTTCTTGAACATAAAGTCATAATGGAGAACAAAAATACTAAACGGTCCTAAAATAGTGCAATGCAGCATGTAGTTTCACTCCTATCCATTCTTTCATCCATCCACCCATCTTCAGTTTTTCTTCTTTCATTGTAGCGTGCCGTATAACGGTTCTGTTTGCTGAAAGCTGAGGTCTGGTGCTGCCGGTGTTTGCTCTTCATCTCTGTGTCTACACAGACTGATCACATCCTCTGTCTGCCTCTCACTGCATTAAAACATGGGATCTAATCCTGTTACCAATTACCCAATCAAACCATCTGTCCTGAGCATCGTCACGAGAAACCAAAGACAATCAATGCATCTCAGATATAGAACTTACACTAACTTATCTACCTGCCAGTATTTGCTGTAAGAACGAGTATTCATGACATACATGTGCTAACAGTTATGAGCAGTAAATATTTACATGGAAAAAGACTCTTATAATTGCCTTCAGGACATTAAAATTAATAAAACGCCTACTGTATGTCACATAATAGCACACATCAAAATATTATTGAGTTAATAATTCATAATATTTCTGAATAGTTTTCTGCTTTATAATGATGTTAGTTTTTTTCGCTGTCGGGAAAAGGATGCATTTAACACCCGAATGAGAGCTGCATTATAATTTTATGAAATGAGATGATTCATTATTGCTAAAATGAGTTGATCGATCAGCCACGTCAAGACAAATGCTTTAATGAAATAATGCTTAATGCAAATGTTAAAGATTCAAACTTTTAATGTATAACATTATACCCATTATATCCCAGGTTCTTGCAGTGAGGTTGAATGATTGTATTACACTGAACCTTCATTAAAGTTAAGCGAGGTCTGTTTTTCTGTGTTTAAACAGACCCATCGAATCCTGTCAGCATTTCGACAAGGACTACACATTGCAGATCGACATGGCCTTCAACGTGTTCTTCCTCTTGTACTTTGGACTGCGTGTAAGTTTATTTAAAGGGACAGTACGCCTTCAGTTGCTGGTCCCCATTGACTTATATATATGGGAAAAAACACTATGCAAGTCAATGGGGACCAACATGTGCTTTACAAACTTGCAGATGCAGTAATTTACCATTCAGTTTACTTCAGTGGCATTTTAGTATTTGTTACATACCATTATATATTTGTTAATATTTTGAATGAGCTTTTATTGGTATATTTTAATTTTAGTGTAGGTTTTAGTCATGTTAATGTTTTTTTGAGTCATTTTTATTAGTTAAATAGTAGAACAAAATATTTCTGTATAGCTTTGATTTGTTTTTATTTAGTTTTAGGCATTTTAGTACTTAAGTTTAACTCAGGCATTTTTAATTTTCATTTACGTTTTTGACGTTTTAGGGCATTTTCTCTAATATTTAAAAAAATATTTTATTTTTGATTATTTGATTATTTAGTTTATTTTAGTGTTATTTTAGTAGTAATTATATACTATTATATATTGCTTAATATTTTGAATGAGCTATTATTGTTATATTTTAGTTTCAGCTTTAGTGTTTTTATGTGTTTTTTTTATTAGATATTAGAAAAACCTTTCTGTATAGTTTTGATTTGTTTTTAATTTCAGTTTTTGTAAATTAGTACTTCAAATTATGTATTTCTAATTTTCACTTAAGTTTATGTTTAGGTTTTTCATCTAATATTTAGATTTGACCTAATTATCTAATAGTTTTGTTATTTTAATTATTCAGTTTATTTCAGTGTTTTTTTAGTATTAATTGTATTCTATTATATATTTCTTAATATTTTGAATTCGCTTTTATGTTCCTATTTTGTCTTAATTTTAGTAATTTTATATTTTTGCCATTTTTATTACTTAAATATTAGGAAAACATTTCTATACAGCTTTGATTTGTTTTTATTTCAATTTTAGTCATTTTAGTACATTTTAGTACTATTTTTTACTTTATTATAAAGTTTTTATGTAATTTTTATACTTTTATGTTTTATTTTATATTTTATATATTTTATTTTATTTAAGAATTATTTCAATTTCCAAAAACAATTTATAACAGGTTTATTTTTTCATTAACAATAACAACTCTGGTTTATTTATCGACTGACATGTGTCATGTGTTTATCTTTTCTGCATCTTCACAGTTCATCGCAGCCAATGATAAGCTGTGGTTCTGGCTGGAGGTGAATTCAGGGATTTCTTCCTTCACCGTCCCGCCTGTGTTTGTGTCCGTTTATCTGAACAGGAGCTGGCTGGGTAAAGCACTCTCCCATTACTGACACTTTACCTTGAATACCTGATTATTTCATCAGATTATGTCAGAAATGTAAAACCCACAGGCAGATATTATTAGATAAAGGTCTGCACCGCCACCTGCTGGACATTAAACGCATTAGCCTTAATCTGTCAGCGAACACAATCTGTAACACACAATCTGTTACAGCAAATCAGTTTATTCAGCAGCTCGCTGGGATTTGTGATCTCTGGCGTGCTGGGAATTAGAGAGACGTTCTCTAGAAATCCTCCTATTGTTTAAAATAGCTGATTGTTTGTTCTCATGCATCATTTTTCAGGTTTTTTGAGGGCATGAGCAGCTCAGGTCACTTCTAAACCTCTGAATAATTATTTAAGTACAGCAAGAATCATTCAGCTGCTCAGAAACAGACAGGTTTATTAACTGTTGTGCAATTACAGACTGTTTTTTACTAATTTAGGTCAGAATGATTGTCTGTGGGAATGAAGCAGGACGCAGATGCTGCTCATAGTTCTGAACCGCAATATTCTTTTAACGAAGCGTGTTTAATTAATCGCAGAACAAGTACTTTCACTGGATTATGTGATTTAATTGTTTGGAGTAATTGTTGCAGTGCAGTTGAAACCCATTTTCTAAATGAGCTTGTGTTTGTGGATTGACTTTGTACTTCAGGAGATTTCCAGGATGTCTGATAAAGTCTATTTTAAAAGCTTAGCTGGTCAAAAACTGGCCATTTACTGGACGTTTATTCAGCAAGGATGCATTAAATTAATCAAAAGTGATAGTAAAGACATTGATAATGTTCCAAAAGATTTCTATTTCAAATAAATGCTGTTCTTGTGCGTCCCAGGACGATTCCTAAAGGAGCTTATACTGTAATATCCTGATGAAAAGGGTTTGTTCTAAGCTTTCACTACATGCTTACATGATCACAACTGGGATGCAGTTTTTTCCGGTGGGCTTTCGGTGCATTTCGACCACCTCTCTTCTCAGAGTGAGACGGAGCTTCTTTCCTGCCGATTCGACGCTGTAAATTGGGAGCGTTTTTATCAGAGTCGTCGTCATGATCCCGACTAAGATGTTGGTGTACCGGAGCCCAGACGGGGCCACACGCACCGAGGCCCTACTGAACACACGCAGACGCAAGAAGTCCTGCGGCGAGCTCTTTCACAACGGCTACCGTGTGAAGATGCTCCACGTGCCCGTCTGTGAGAAAAAGGAGCGTGATGACTCTCAGCACACGCTCTCCTCGTGTTTCCATGCCGTCTCGTACTGGGGTAAGAACTGCTGCTGGAATCCGCACGGATTGATGGATGTTTCCCGACCGTTCGTCCAAGAACAAGGAGGCAGCATTAAGCAGCTTTACAGAGGTTTCCTCTTGTGTTTGGAGAAAGTTGCTTAGTTTTAATTTGGCAGTGATTCTTGAGACATGGGACAAAACAAAACGCTAAAAATAACATTTCCACTTTGAAAATAATCAGAGATTAATTTAGTCCCATTGCAATTAATTCAATACGACATTTGTCAATATTTGTAATAATTTAATTTCTGATACAGAATCTATGAACATGTTTAATAAAATAATCTAAATAATAATAAAAAAATATTATTATTATTACTAATAATTAATGTAAAATAATTAATTGTTGCATTAATTTCTTCCATTTTTGTGACCTTTTGTCCCAGATCTCAAGAACCAGTTTTTTTTTTTTAAGCTCATGTGTGTTTAATCATAGCTTATGAGCTTATCTTCGGAAGACTCTGAACATCATTTTAACCTTTTAATCATTCGTTAAGGTCATTCATAATCAGTATTCCACTTGAAATGCATAAAAACAAACCACAAGCTAAGGGACAAAGGGAGATGCTTTTTCTCATGTGCATGCATTTGTTGTGCATCAAGCGAAAGTCAAGTGCATTGCATTATGGGATGCAATATTTCATGCAGTAGGCTTTGTTGTTGTATATTGCACATGTTGGCTGGTGTTTCATGCACACTGTGTCTAATATGCATACTATAGTCTGTACTGCAGAAATAATGCAAGCAGTACTATTGAGAACACAGTTTAGTGTCTGTCTTTTTCTGGAAAGTGGACTGTACGATGTTGAGCAATGAAAAATCAATGATTGAATGTGAATGAGTAGATTGCTCTGCTGTATGATGATATTTGTGTGAAGCATTTGTGTGTGTGTGTGTGTGTTCATAATAAGCAAGGTCACCTCATTGAAGTCACATGTTTTTCTCTGAGTTTTTTTTTTTTTTATGGTAAAGCTTCTGAAACCAGCACTCAAATTTAGGCCTTTACGTCATGAGTGTTGAGCCGACTGTCTGTCGAGAGACAAATAAACTCCATCCAGATGTGTTCAGTCCAGCGCTGCGGCTCTCATCTTTTGGCGCTTTCAAGACTGATATTTGAATATTTCCTGCAATATTTTGAGGGTTTTATTTTTTGTAGCTGCGGTTAGTTTGTATTGTTAGCTGTGTTTTTACGGGCTGATGATCTAAATAATAATAACAAATTATTATTAACATTACTAATAATTAATGTAAAATAATTAATTGTTGCATTAATTTCTTCCATTTTTGTGACCTTTTGTCCCAGATCTCAAGAACCAGTTTTTTTTTTTAAGCTCATGTGTGTTTAATCATAGCTTATGAGCTTATCTTCGGAAGACTCTGAACATCATTTAAACCTTTTAATCATTCGTTAAGGTCATTCATAATCAGTATTCCACTTGAAATGCATAAAAACAAACCACAAGCTAAGGGACAAAGGGAGATGCTTTTTCTCATGTGCATGCATTTGTTGTGCATCAAGCGAAAGTCAAGTGCATTGCATTATGGGATGCAATATTTCATGCAGTAGGCTTTGTTGTTGTATATTGCACATGTTGGCTGGTGTTTCATGCACACTGTGTCTAATATGCATACTATAGTCTGTACTGCAGAAATAATGCAAGCAGTACTATTGAGAACACAGTTTAGTGTCTGTCTTTTTCTGGAAAGTGGACTGTACGATGTTGAGCAATGAAAAATCAATGATTGAATGTGAATGAGTAGATTGCTCTGCTGTATGATGATATTTGTGTGAAGCATTTGTGTGTGTGTGTGTGTGTTCATAATAAGCAAGGTCACCTCATTGAAGTCACATGTTTTTCTCTGAGTTTTTTTTTTTTTTATGGTAAAGCTTCTGAAACCAGCACTCAAATTTAGGCCTTTACGTCATGAGTGTTGAGCCGACTGTCTGTCGAGAGACAAATAAACTCCATCCAGATGTGTTCAGTCCAGCGCTGCGGCTCTCATCTTTTGGCGCTTTCAAGACTGATATTTGAATATTTCCTGCAATATTTTGAGGGTTTTATTTTTTGTAGCTGCGGTTAGTTTGTATTGTTAGCTGTGTTTTTACGGGCTGATGAAATCAGTGTCGTTGTTAAACATGGACGAACACTTTAAAGGTACGAGCTGAACTCGATTCTCTGTGTTTTAGTGTGTGTTATGATGTTCTGCGTCTCGATGTTGTTTCATGAGAGTCTTAAGTGTGTTTCTTACTTGCTTCTGCTCTTTCATGCAGGATTGAGGTTCTTAAGAGCCTTGAGGCTGATCCAGTTTTCTGAAATATTACAGTTTTTAAATATCTTAAAAACAAGGTAAGAATGCCTTCATGTGCAGCATGTGATTTCTGCACTCGTGTCGAAATAGTTGTTTATAATTCTTCACCTGCATGTTCTTTTGCGTTATCCTTGATCTTAAATAAAAATCATACTTTTTTATAAATCTGATAACATTATATCATCTAGGGACACTTGCATTTTATATATTGTGCTTTGTACTTTGAACTTTAGAGTAGTTATTTTAAAGTGTGTACTCACCGATTATGATTTTTTTTTTCAAAACATGATTTTACAGAATAAAGAGTATATTCATCAATTGACAAATAGTTTAACTGCAATTTAGTCTTTTATATTATATTATATTATATTATATTATACACTCAAAAAAAGTCTGTATAAATAGGGTATAAAGTACTGTATTAATATGAATTCATTTACCAAAATATCTTAAAAAATGTCTTGGAAAATTACCAGTACATTCTCCTTTTTCCATTGATTCTTTTTTAAATTGTATTATTAATATTATTATGAAATTTTGTTATAGCCAGTATTTTATTTCTGCCTGTGGTGCTTGAATATCTTTGACATTGTTCTCAGAAATCTGTCCGTCTCCCTGCAGCTTAGATCTAAAGCTTTAGCGCAGATGTCCAGGAGAGCTTATTGTACAACAGAATGAATAATCTCAGTGCAATTCATTCAGATGGAGAGGTGAAATCTACTGAATAAACTGTGCCAAAACAATCTGAAATGATTTTTGGACTAAAATTGGCCAGTATTATGCAAAGAACCTTTAGTCATCCGAGTTATTTCTGTTCTTTTGAAAATGTTTTGTTTGTATGAGGTTTAGCAGGCTTTCCAAAATATGCTCTGGTTGAACTCAAATTTATGTGCAGTATTAGTTCAAAAATGTTGATTCACGTGAGTATCAGTTGTGAGTTGATGTGAGTATTTCTAAAATTTGTTTTCATAGCAACTCCATCAAGTTGGTGAATTTGTGCTCAATCTTTATAAGCACATGGCTGACGGCAGCGGGCTTCATACATTTGGTAAGTCAATCGCATCAGGAATGAACTGGATGGTGAAAAGCTACATTTTGATGAAAGATCACGAAAACATACTTTTTCTTCTTTAGAATAATGTCCACTAATGAATCATTAACAATAGCACAAATACATGCATCGAGAAAGAGGAATAGTTCACCAAAAATAAAAATGAAAGATTGTTTCTTTATCAGATTTGGAGAAATGTGTCATTGCATCAGTGTCTCACCAATGGATGCTCTGCAGTGAATGGGTGCCGTCAGAATGAGAGTCCAAACAGCTGATAAAAACATCACAATAATCCACAAGTAATCCACAGCACTCCAGTCCATCAGTTAACATCTGGAGAAGACAAAAGCTGAAACAAATCCAGCATTAAGATGTTTTAACTAAAATACATAATCCATAATAACGCTTTCTCCAGTGAAAAAGTCCAGCTCCTGTTGTCTCTCACATCAAAATCCAGCTACATATTAGTTTAGAGCTGTTTAAACGCTGCTTGATCTGTGCAGATTTCTCTCCTGATTCAGACCAGAACACTTTTTCACTGGAGGAAGCGTTATTATGGATTATGGACTCGTATGAGTGTGAGTGGTGTGGATTACTTGTGGATTATTGTGATGTGTTTATCAGCTGTTTGGACTCTCATTCTGACGGCACCCATTCACTGCAGAGCATCCATTGCTGAGACACTGATGCAATGCTACATTTCTCCAAATCTGATGAAGAAACAAACTCATCTACTTCTTTGACGGTCTGAGAGTGCGCACATTTCATTTTGGGGTGAACTATTCCTTAGGATGAGTTTTGCTTTCATGTTGACAAAGTAAAGCTTAAGTAGAAATACTGAGCCTGTTGGTGTGTTTTCAGGTGGAAAACTCAGGGGATCCTTGGGAAAACTTCCAAAATTCCCAACCGCTTTCCTACTGGGAGTGTGTGTACTTACTCATGGTAACCATGTCCACAGTGGGTTATGGAGATGTTTGTGCTAAAACAACCCTTGGACGCCTTTTCATGGTCTTCTTCATTCTCGGAGGATTGGTAAAAAGCCTAAATAAATAGAAGCAATCCCATAATAATTCACCCACAGCCTGCATTTCTGCCTCCAATTATCAGGTCCCTAATCATTGTATCCTTGACAACCAGAGCTGGAAAACGAACCCTTCATTTGGCTTCAATCCCATCCAAACGTTCCCAGCTTCTGCTCGTCATGATGGAAATATCTTCATGTGTTTTTGCTTGTACTGCATTGCGTGTTTTGGTTCTTAAGCAATTTTTTAAAGTATTTCTATATTTCAAATGCTATATTTGTTGATTTCATGTGATTTCAAGTGGAACCATCATTAGGGAGTACAAAGTTATTCTGTTGAAATCATGACTGACTGCGGTTTTAGACGACCCGACCCAATTTACCCCACCCCAACTCCAACAAACTCTATGAAGGGTTGAGATACACTCCGTCACGATGCCAGCATACATCATACATGCATGACTGTCTCAAATTAAAATGGTATTTAAAGAAATATATTATTAAAATAATTGTAGAAGTAAATACAAATATTTATAGAAATTAATATGAAAAAAATAATAATATTTTGTAAATATTAAAACTAACATTAGATTTAATATTAATAATTTTTCATAAAGTTTGTAAAGAAAATAAGAAATCAGGAAGGGGGCAACACTTTTTCACACCACTGTATATATTTTGGTATTAATTGTATGTTTTGCAATGTGTTTATAAAAACATTAAGGACACATTAGTGCACAGATCTTTAACATTTTTCATTTCTTTTCAATCTTAATTCATTTGTTAATTTAATTAATTTAATAATTAATTTTATGTTTACATTTGAATTACTATTAATAATTTATATACATTTTATACAATAAATATAATTTTATTAATTTCCAAAATTATTTTTTAAATTGTAAAGATATTAAAATTAACATTTTATTATCAATAAAGTTTGTAAAGATAAATAGATTTTGCTATTAATTGTATACAATTATTTTATGTAGAATTTTTTTTAGAAAAGCGTTACATATATGTAACGCTTTTATATATATATATAAAAAATTTACATAAAATAAATTAAGGACACATTAGTGCACAGATCTTTCCAATTTGCCATATTTATGATTCATTTGGTCAGTGTAATACCAAAAAAAGTGTTAATGAAAGACAATTCACTGCTTATCTGAAAGTTTTTAATGACCAGCTTATTGCCATGATTGTTTTCATATAAATAAAATAATAAATTATTAATATTAAAATATTATTTCATAAAAAATATTATGAATTATTAAAATAAAATTATATACATATATTAAAACAATTATAGTAATATTAATAAAATATCATTTGTAAATATATTACAATTAATGTTCATCATTTTTCATAAAGTTTGTAATGAAATATATTTTGCTGTTAATTGTAGTATGTATTGTAATGCTTGAGATCTGAGGCAGTTTTATGAACTCCTATAATAATGTAAATAATGTAAAAGGTAGAGTGCAGCAGTGTTACAGGTGACAGTCGTGCTCATATCAGCCCGGCGTAAGAGTTTGTTTGGACTAAACATGGCTCTTGAGGTTTCCTCCTTTACTTCACCGTTTTCCCTCTTAAACGGCAGATCGAATCTCATCTGTGGCTTTTCTTCTCTTCAACACTGATATCCCTTCAAACAGGGATATTTGTCAAACAGAATGCTTTTACTTTTATCCTAAAACCTTCCAGCCTCTAAAATCTGGGCAATGCATGTACACAAGCATTCTGACTCTCACTGTCTGCATCATAAAGCTCCAGTATTTAACACTTAAAGGGATAGTGTGTGCAGAAATGATCGTTCTGTCATCGTTTGCTCAGCCTCGTGTCGTTTCTTTCTTCGGTGGAACTCGAAAGCTCTACTTTTCCATATAATGAAAGTGAATGGGGACCAAAGTTACAGTTCATATGACTTATTCTTCAGACAAGCGATCATATGACTTCAGAAGTCACATTTATTTCTATAGCACTTTATACGATACAGAAAATAAATAAATAAATAATAAAACAGAAAAATATGAGAATCAGTGATACAAACTTCAATTAAGAGACAAAAAGAGAAAATAGTGTTGTTATTCGGTTCAAATCAGTTCACTGCTGATTCAGTTCAGTTTAGGGCTGAGTATTAAGAGATTTCATGATTCGATTCGATGTGATTTGATTCAAAGCTTGCGATTCAATAAAATTTTGATCTTGATTCAATTCGATTCGATAGTGTAAAAAATCTCTCTCAACTAATGCTGTAAACTATTCAATAAACCCAGTCTGTTGGCACATTACTATAGTAAGGTGATTTGTAAACAAACATTTAAATATAATTAAAATGAAATTAAATAGTAATAATTAGTTTATTATGAATAGTTGTATTTAAATAATTATAATTAATTTAAATTAAAATATTAAATATAATAAATAACTTTTTATTGATATAATTATATGTTTCTACTCCAGTTTGTTGTTGAAATATAAACATTTAAACGGTGTATGTCATTTTGGAATTAATTGTAGTATTTATCGCAATGCTTTTATTAAACATTTTCTACATTAAAAAAATTAACATCATTTCAGTTTGCCCCTTTTATAATGATTAATTTTGTCAACGTATTACAAACAAAAACTGTATTTCTGAAAAACAATTCACTGCTTATCTGAGCGTTGTAAGACCGACTTATTGCCCTAAGGATTTATTTTCATATAATTAAAGAAATAAAATATTAATGTTTAAACATTATTTTCACATTAATATTACATTTATATGTAAATGTAATTATTTAAATATATACAAATAATTACATTCATTAATATGAGTAAAATGAGTTATATACAATATTTTATAAACAAAAATAAACATTAATTTTAATATTAATAATTTACAGTAATACTTTTATAAAACATTTTCTACATAAAAAACACATTAGTGCACATATAATTTCAATTCGCCACATGTATATTGATAAATTTGATTGGTGTAATACTAAAATAAATACATAACAGCTGTAAGTATTTTTGAAATACAATTCACTGCTTATCTGAATGTTTTAAGATTAACTTATTATCCTTAATTAAATTAATTAATACAATATTAATATATTATTTCAATATTAATTCTTCATATTGATTTTATATAAAATATAAATTATTTTTTTATATAAATGTAAATTTTTTATATTTAATTTTTTATTAATTGTTACATATACAGCCCTAGTTCCGTTTAATAATGTCTAAGTTCATCAGTTATGAAAACAAGCTCAATTCAGTTCAAGTTTTGGCTCGGCCACCCATCATCTTCATTACATTGTTTTTATACATGCATCTTTTTTCACAGAAGAAAGTCAGTCATAGGGGTTTGTAATGACACGAGGGTGAGCAAACGAGGACCGAACTCTGATTTCGGCTGAACTATCGATCACAGAAATAAATTACAGTTTAACAGATATTCACATAGAAAACAGCTACTTTAAATTGTAATAATATTTCACAATTTTTACTGCATCTTTGATCAAATAAATGCAGCCTTGCAGATTAAAAAAAACTCAAAAGCAAAAAACTGTACCCACCCCAATCTTTTGAATTATATATATATATATGTTTTGATTTAGCCTTTTCAAACTTTCAGGTGTACTTAAACTCTTTTTAAATAACACTAATATACATTTTATGAGGTGTCGCACATTTTTCATAGTATATGTACAATCACAAAATTCAACTACACGTCACTGTAATGTTTTGTGTGTCAACTTATTTTAATGCTAGCTACAACAGTGTACACATCATATATGAAATATATGCTTGCATTAGTTTATAATTAATCATCAGCAGTCATTTTGATGTACTATCCTTTTCAGACCGTCAGCTCATTGCTCAAATGCTTTGGCTTTAAAGTCCCCATGAAATCAAGATTGTTTTTTTGTTGTTTAGTCTGTAGCTCATCTACAGCAGTGTTTCCCAACCTTTTTTTAGTCGCGGCACACTTTGGAAATTTTTACAAACTTGTGGCACCCTACAAAATTAATTTTGTCACAATATTTGAATTTCTAGGTATATGAGTGGAGCGACTGAGCGGAGCGCACACGCATAGAGCGGATAATACGCAGAGCGTCACACCACGTGAAAGTGAAAATTTTCGGCAGCCGAAATTTCGGTGCATCTCTAATTATTGGCGACATCAGAAATGGATATTATATAATAGATGCTTTTTTGAACATTTTAGCAATTTAAATATATAAAAAAATGCTTTTTTACACTGCACCCCTGCTCTCGACAGACGGCACCCCAGGGTGATCTGATCTACAGTATATGCTCATTTTAGCAAATACAAGTATTTAAAATGTATCTTTTGAGATTATCGTTATGGCTTCGGATTTTATTCAGATTTTTAGCTCATTAAATGTTGATTAATGTCTGAATAGTGATTTTATGGGGTCTTTAACTCTTAAGTGGCACCGCATTGCTGTTACTGCTTTAAACTCATTCGTTGTTGTTGTTTTAAGTAAACTTAAGACAAGGTTTGTTGTTGTTACAGTATAAATCCAGTTCCTCCAGAGAAAACCCACCCAGACTCCCTTCAAACTAGCACATGCTCAGGGTTCCTTTCACATGATTTCAGTCTGATTTTGTATGATTTTAAGGCTAAATGTTGTGTAACGTGTGATCTGGGTGGTTTTCTCTCTTGTTGATCAGCTGTGATGTTATCTGATGAATACTCACCAGTTGCGTTTCTCAGGCATATAGTCGTCTGCGGTCACATCACGCTGGAGAGCGTCTCCAACTTCCTCAAAGACTTCCTACACAAGGACAGGGATGATGTCAATGTAGAAATAGTTTTTCTCCATAAGTAAGTACAATGTTGAAATTGAATGGAGGTTTCATCCGCACAAAAGACGTTTTGAAGAACGCTCCTGCTGCTCTGTTTTGTGGGATGAACGTATTGGTCTCACAGTGCCGTTGTGTGTGTGTGTGTGTGTGTTTTCAGTATTTCCCCTAATCTTGAGCTGGAAGCCTTATTCAAGAGACACTTCACACAGGTGGAGTTTTACCAGGGATCCGTCCTCAACCCTCACGATCTTGCTCGAGTCAAGGTACAGGTCTAATCTACAGTCTGCAGGCTAAAAACCAAAAAGTTGCTTTGACAAATTAGTGGAAAAAAACATGTAGAAGTGTGTAGTGAAATGTCAGAAATTTATATGATCATAAAAAAAATCATGGCAATTTCTATGGAGAATCTACTGTTTTCTAGTTATGCGCTGTAAAATATTTAATCATTGTGTAGAGCAGGGTTATTATAGTAATCTAAAACCATTAAACATGTTTTCATTGCTTGAAATAAAATAAATGTTAACTGATATAAAATAAAATATAGAAAAATGTATTTTATTCCAGCTATTTGCCAAGGCAATGTTTATCATTTTTGTTCAGTTTTACTCGACGAACTAAAACTAAATAAACTAAAGCGAAGAAAAATAACAAAAAAACCTTAAACGTGTTTAAAGAAAACAAGAACAAATAAAAATGACAAACACACACAGCAGAATTACTAAAACTTTAACGTAAAATTAAGATGAAAACAAAATGTCAAAATAATATCTCATTCATAAAATTAACAAAAACTATAATAGTATATTAATGATACTAAAATAACACTGTTAAACATTAAAAATGAATAAAAATAACAAAACAAAAAAATACAAAATTAAAATTGAAGTGAATACAGAAAATATAAAAATATTTAATTTGAAACAGAATTTTTTTTTTTTTAAATAAAAAAAGTTATCATAGTTTATCAAGGATCCTAAAAGAACTTTTTTGTGTGCCATAAGTCTTTTTAACTGGTTCCCTAATTGGTCTGAATGATTTGCTAGCAATTTGACTGGTGTTGAAAATTTTTATGGAGTAATAACAAACAGCTGAGTTTATGAAAAAGGAAATTCAGTGCACAAAAATATGGGAACCCTGCAAAAAGTGAATTTTTTTTTTTTGGCCCATTTATTTACATCCTGTAAAGTTTAATCACGTTTTAAATTAGATCTGTTGTTTAAACCCATTTTTCTAGATTGAGTCGGCCGATGCCTGTCTGATCTTAGCCAATAAATATTGTGCAGATCCTGACGCTGAAGATGCATCCAATATCATGAGGTGAGACAGGACCCCCCCCAAAAAACAAAACAAAAACAAAAGATTAAATAAGAATTAGTGCATTATACTCAAAAAACTACTTTTGATGTGTGTTTTTCTAGGGTGATATCCATTAAAAACTACCATCCAAAGATCCGAATCATTACACAGATGCTGCAGTACCACAATAAGGTGAGCGTTTCCATGTCATTATAAGTTTATTGTACCAAAAACAGCCAAAATGTTGTTTTTCATGACCATTTTCCATTTTCATGATCTTTAGAATTAAAGGGATAGTTCACCCAAAAATGAAAATTCTGTCATTAATTACTCACCCTCATGTCGTTCCAAACCCATAAGTCCTTCGTTCATCTTCAGAACACAAATTAAGATATTTTTGATGGAATCTGAGAGCTCTCTGACCCTGCATAGACAGCAAGGGTCCTTCCACGATCAACGCACAGAAACGTAGCAAGGAGATCTGTAAAATAGTCTATGTGACATCAGGGGTTCAACCGTAATTTTACGAAGCTACGAGAATACTTTTTGTGCGCAAAGAAAACAATAATAACATAATTTATTCAACAATTCTTCTCCCCGAGTTACCGTCTTCCGCCTTTTTGGAGAGTACCCCAGAACGAAATGATTACGTTGATTACATTCTGGGGTACTCTCCAAAATTCAAACTAAGAATCACAAGCTGTTTGGTATCAATAAATGTTCTGGATGAACTAAAGAGGGAATTTTGAGTTGTCACATTGTACTTCAAAATCTTGTTTCAAACAGTTATGAGGCCTTTAATGCATGCACTTTCTGTCCTCGTCTTCTCCAGGCTCATCTTCTCAACATCCCGAGCTGGAACTGGAAGGAGGGCGATGACGCCATCTGCCTCGCCGAGCTGAAGCTGGGCTTCATCGCTCAGAGCTGCCTGGCACAGGGTCTGTCCACCATGCTGGCTAACCTCTTCTCCATGAGGTCCTACATCAAGGTCAGTTCACATGCTGGAGCAAACAGTGTCACCGTTTGAAACCTGAGCTTGAAACTCACAACTTACTTCTGTTTAGATTGAAGAAGACACATGGCAGAAGTATTATTTAGAGGGAGTAGCCAATGAAATGTACACGGAGTATCTGTCCAGTGCCTTCGTGGGTTTGTCTTTCCCCACCATTTGTGAGTAAGTATGATGAGTGCAATTACTTTGACCATTTTACTTATGTTAGTATGATAGTAAAGTCATTGGGCCTCATTCATGAAATACGAGCAGAACGAATTTTTGTGTAAATCGTTCGTAAAGCTGTTCTGACGTAAACTTTCGAATTCATGAAAATGTTCGTATTTTCAAAATGTTAGTTGGTACGAAAGAAATGTACACCTGCTCCTTACCAGGTGTAAATGGTGCGTAAAACGTTCTGTGTTTTTTTTTTGTTGGCAAACTGATGACACGTAATTATTATGGCAGGGCATCAAAATTCAAAGTTAATTTGCCCTTGCCCC